CCAGCTAGCAGCTCAGCTGAACACATGGAAACAGAAGCTGATGGAGAGGACTGTGGAGGACCAGAACCAGCCAGGGACTCAGATCCAGAGAGACATTTACCATCAGAGACTGAGGACAACTCGGAAGACTCTTCCGAACCTGAGACTGATGACAGTGATTTCTGGAAGGAGTCCAGGGAACGTCCGTCAGATATAAACTCTATGGAAAATGATCAAGTCCCTGTAAGGGATTCCAAACATAGTGCTCGAGGGAAACCATTTAGCTGCTTTCAGTGTGGAAAAAGATTTAGCTCTAAGGGAGACCTGAAGGGACACATTATAACTCATACAGGAGAGAAACCATTCAGTTGCTCTGGGTGCAATCAAATATTTTTGTGTGAAGAACAGCTTAAGTTACACATAATAACTCATACAAGAGAGAATTCCTTTACTTGTGATTTAAGTTTTGAACAAAACGTAAATCTGACAAACCACATTGCAGACCACACACGGGACAAACTCTTCCACTGCTCTGTTTGTAACTCCGGTTTCAGTGATAGGGAGGCTTTAGTTCAACACATGAGGATCCACACGGCACTAACACAGTTTCGTTGCCCAATTTGTAGTAAAGAATTTGCCTGGAGAAGATATCTGACAAAACACATGGATATCCACAAAATCTACAGCTGCAGTGTTTGTTCCAAAAAATTCACTCGGCGTTATCAGCTGAAATACCATCAGTGTGTTGGTCGTCAGTCCTCAAAGCCTCATCAGAGCAAAACTGAGAACAAAGTCCTTGTCAGTAATGATAGGTGTAATACTGCTGAAAAACCATATAGCTGCTCTGAGTGTGGGAAAATATTTGGCCATAAGCACCATCTGAAGAGACACCGGAGATCTCATACAGGAGAGAAACCATTTAGTTGCTCAATCTGTAAGAAGTATTTTGCACGTAGGGAAACTTTACAGACACACATGAGGATCCACTCAGGAGAGAAACCATTCAACTGCTCAGTTTGTGATAAAACATTTCTGCGCAAGGCACATCTGAAAAGACACATGGGAACTCATACAGGGGAGAAACCTATCAGCTGCTGAATGTCTGGGAACAAATATATAGAGGCAGTAAGTCCTACACATTATAGGAATTATGCAGAAACACACTGAAATCCAAACATAAGAACATATTTATTCAAATTGAAATTAAAGTTTAATTTAAGAAACACAAGTAGGCTGGTTATTCTACATTATTTTCTCATTCTCCGGCACATTACTCATTGTATACCATGTATACATTTATTAAAAGTCTTATATATATATATGTATATTTTTTTTATTTCCCTTTCACAGCGCTATTGTTTGGACTGAATTATTGTCTCTGTTGTTAAGCTAATTGTTTTACCACCTTGCTATTAAGTATGTTTAAAGTAATGTAGTTGTGTAATTGTGTACATCCTCGTTTCTTGTTTAACATGGCCCACAGATTATCCATCCTCTCCATATATCAGAGTGATTCTTCATGTTCAGCAAAAAAATCAGTTTCCTTGTTTAGATAAGCACAAACTTTGTATATGGAGGGGAATATTTTGTGTTCACAGATTTTTCTCAGTTGTATTTATAAACATATGAATAAATATTGTAACAACTGCTCAAGTTCTCTGATTTCATTGTTTCATGATGGCTTACAAACTGTTAGGTTTTACTTTATATATCTAACAAAGTTTTGTAAATAAGGAGGGTGTTGCTTAGGAAACGTCTTGTATATTATATTTTTTAATTTACCGAGATAAAAACATCCTAACACATTTGTGACATTACATTTCATTTAGAGTGCATTCCACCATACTCTTAAACTTTTTCAGTACTACATAAAGAAATGAGAAGTTATTTAAAAAAAAAAATGTATTGTCCAAAGTGCAGTGGAAACAGGTGGGTTGTCAGTCAGAGACTGAAGAAAGGTAGACTTGATATTAAGTAGCATGTTCCACTATAAGAGCAAGGACTGTGGCTGCGAGGAAGTGCGGTTGCCTTTCAACCAGCAGGTTGTTGGTTCGATCTCGGCCCGTGCAGTCAACATGTAGATGTGTCCTTGGCCAAGATACTTAACCCTGAGTTGCTCCCGATGGCCAACTGTGTGTGTGTGTGTGTGTGTGTGTGTGTGTGTGTGTGTGTGTGTGTGTGTGTGTGTGTGTGTGTGTGTGTGTGTGTGTGTGTGTGTGTGAGAGCTTCCCTAGAGCAAGTGGTACTGCTTAGCACAAATGAAGGCTCTGGTGAATGACTCGTATGTTTTCATACAAGCTTTGAGGGGTCGAAAAAGTGCAATATAAGTTGAGCGCTTTATCATTGAGAGATTAGCAGGCCGATAGGCATGAGAGCAAAGTGTAGGTGAAAAAATGTGTCTACAATATCACTTAAAAACAATAGTCTGCTGGTTAATTGAGCTCAATCAGACAGATACAAAAATAAGGATAAAATGGTCGCCATGTATTCTTTGGCGGTGTGCCAATACGTTTTTGTGTAGAGCAGTGTTTCTAGAACATTTTTATATTATCTAAAAAGCAACTTTTTTCGGGAGTTATTTGAAAACTTCCTATAGCTTACCAGGGTGTTTCCATAATGTCGTATGATTGTTCTTATATTTTTATTTAAACTTGAGAAAAAAGAAATGAAATGACTGAGGCTCCATGGTCTCCTTACAATCACTACTGTTATCAGAAGAGACAGAAGAGTGTGCAGTGTCGTCTTCAGTCCTTTTTTTGAGCTTCTGTTTCCAGCATTAGCTGCTATAGGCTTGGTCTGTCGGGGGACACCTTACTTCTTCCTTCTGTCTGTCTGTACCTGTGTACTCTCATGTTCCGATTAACCCAGCCTCCCCCAAATTTCTTTTTTTTGTGTCTATATCTACGCCGGGATCCTGAGTCGAGGCTGATCCTGTTGCTGTGGTCCTGTATCCTGGATCCTCTATCCTGAGTTCTGGATTGAGTCCTGGACTTCGAGTCGTGGCTGAACCTGTCTCTGCGGTCCTGCCTGACTTTCATCATACTACTTCCCTGATGGCTCCCACAAGATTGCTGACATC